CTCCTCCCGTTAAGTCCCTTCTAGGACCTCTCCCTTCTAATGGTTCTCCAATCTTGAAAAATCAGGGTAGAATTTCTGAAATTTCAAGGTTTTCTTCTCACTTGTTGTGCATCAACTGTAAAGACTTTGGCCACGTTTCTTCCAAATGTACTAATCGAACCTTAGTCATGGAAGAACGAAAGAATGTAATAGATATGCCATTAGAAGATCTAGTCTATGAACATAAACTTGAAGATTTTGATGACTTGGATGATAGTGAGGACACTTCTTTAGGTGGACTCCAGACTCTTCCCGAGACTTTAGATACTATACCCCTTGTTTCTGACAACTCTTGGTCACATGTTATATGTCATACCCTTGCACAACTCAAAGAGCTTGATGATTTCACTGACCACCCTTGGAGAATCCAGTCGCCTGTGGTTAGCATTAAATCAACATTCCCCACTACTGACCAACTTCAAACTGATGGTCAAAATGAAGTCGTTAACCAAAGTCCTGGCAATTTATTCAAGTCTCTAGTCCAGAAAAATCTTAGAAATTGGGACTTGATTCCCCCAACTGTTCAAATTGCGTATAACAATTATGTAAATCGGTCTCTAGGTTTAAATCCATTTGAAGCTGTTCATAGTTATAAGTCTAGGCGGCTTTTAGACTTTATTTACATGTCCCCACATGCTAGTGTGTCGATATCAGTTGAAGCATTTGTGCATCATCTTCATGACTTGCATATTAAGATCAATAAACAACTTTACGCAAGTAATGCATTATATAAACTTCAAACTGATTTGCATAAACAATATTTTCAATTTCATATTAGGGATTATGTTATATTGCAAGCCGGTAGTGCTGGTTCTTTTAAAGTTTTAAAGCATGTTGGTCCATACGCACATGTCATTAATTTTTCATCACATTTTGGCCACCACTCTACTTTACATATTGAAGACTTAGTTACTTACAAAGGCCTTTTTAATTTCCTTGATGATCCTTTTCTACTTCCTTATGTGGATCCTCAACCTAAAGATATTGCCATTTTCACTCCAATAACACATGTCACAGCACACAAAGATGTAATTGATGCTATTTTAGATAAACAGGTTGTGTTGACCAATGAGGAAGATTTTGGGGATGAGTGGCATGAAATTTTACTATTGGGAGTTCAATATCGGTATGTGATTATAAAGAAAGATCGTCCTCCTTGGTTGGATCATATCCTTGAGGATAAGCTACAACTATCCTTGTTATCATTTGTGGAGTTTCGGTATTTGGTCATCGAGAAAGATCGTCCCCCGTGGCATGACTTGGAGCCTTTCGCATCAGATTCAGTGCAACATACTGCTTTATCTACTCGACGGGGTCGAGTTTTTCTCCCACCCCGGGAGAGTTAATGCGGACATCCATTTATTATTTATTTTCTATTTGGACTATTAGTTATATTTTATTTGGACTATTGTTTATGTTTTCGTTATTGGGCTTGTTTAGTGGGTTTGGCCCAAGCTCTTCTCTTTAGGGTTTGTGTTCTGCTATTTATTTCTATTTTGTTTCTCATTTAAGACAGTTGATGATGAATTAGAATTGAAAGTTGGTTTTGGCTTGCAGCCGGCCGTTTCCCCCCTTGCTTCTCCCTTTCTGTCCCCTGGTCTCCCCTCGTTCCCCCTTGTTTCTCTCTGGTTCCTCCCACTTTCTTACTGCTTCCGTTTTCTTCTTCTTCTTCTTCTTCTTCTTCTTCTTCTTCTAGTTACGCTATATTCTGCCTGTTCTAACTACTTTGCAGGAATTCATTTTCATCCTACATCAAATTGGTATCAGTTAGAACAGGATGAAAATGAATTCCTGCAAAGTAGTTAGAATAGGCAGAATATAGCGTAACCAGAAGAAGAAGAAGAAGAAGGCGGAAGCAGTAAGAAAGGGAGAGGAACCGGAGAAAAACAAGGGGGAATGAGGGGAGACCAAGGGACAGAAAGGGAGAAGCAAGGGGAAAACAGCCGGCTGCAAGCCAAAACCAACTTTCAATTCTAATTCATCATCAACTGTCTCAAATGAAAAATAAAACAGAAATAAATAGCAGAACACAAACCCTAAAGAGAAGGGCTTGGGCCAAACCCACTAAACAAGCCCAATAACGAAAACATAAACAATAGTCCAAATAAAATATAACTAATAGTCCAAATAGAAAATAAATAATAAATGGATGTACGCATCAACTAGGATAATACAATCCACCATAACACTTGAGATTATCAATGCCATTTATTTCGTACTCAGTTTTGGTCAGTCCTGAATATCATGATTCCTCTGCCACTAAATATATGGCCCTCTTTGACCCACATTCTTTTCAAAAAAAAAACATTCTTCAATAGTGATTTAATATCATTTTAACCACACATTCTTCAATAACATAATTGTTGGATTTATTGATACCCAATAAATCTCGGACTATGATGTTAACATGGGTTAATATTATTTCATAGGCACATGTCGATGAATAAAATAAGTCTAACAACTAAATCCATGAGTTACATCAGCCCAATTGTATTTCCTTTTGGATGACTTGAATCTTAGCCCGTTTAAACATCTTAAAGGTCCAACTTAAAGCCTAACCCTAGAGTATATATATAGATATAACCTTAGCTACTTTCTTGTGATGTTTTGTGTGGTTTTGTGAGGAAAATCAAGGAATCCCGGCTGCCCCCTTTGGTGTGTAGAAAATAGCCTCTAGAAGTGTCCAAAACGTTTGTTTACTTTGTGTAATTGATGATTCTTTCATAGTATACATTTGTGGTGTCTTCTCCTAGCTTTTGTGGCCACAAATCATCATCTTTTCTTATCCTACGTGGGTAAGATTGAATAGCAATCGAGGTGAATTAGATTGGTTGTAGTTTGGAGCCGATTAGATTGGTTGTTGGTATAGAAAGGTACGTTTGACTGAGCTCGAAAATCACCGATTTGAAGATCTTTCAAGAGAGCTTTCGTAACATTTGGTATCAGAGCTTCAAGGTGGTGATTTTGATTCATGAAACATACCAAAAATGTCCAGAAATCGCAGCAGAAATCAGATCGAAGAAACTGCCCAAAAACTGTCAAAATTAGCCTCTATTTTCCTCGTTTTCTGATCAATCCAGAAGGAGTTAATAGAGACCATTGGCGTGACATGCAGGTGGAGGAAGATCCTCAGTCAGGCACGTAGCGACGACGATGGCGCGTAAAGCCCATGCGCAAAGATGAGAAGACGCGTGTGAGAGGGAATTTCGAAGAGGTCCCTTCAGGCAGTTTGTTCCTCACATTAATTCTGACATTTTTCGTGTTGAAAGTTTTCCGTTTCAAGGTTTGCAGTAGAATTTGGACAATGTTGTTCTTAGGACGTTCGGAATTCGATCATGATTTCT